GTAAAGACTCCTTGTCTAAATGACCACTTCCCTACTTAACCTTTCTAGTATGTCACACTTAAGAGCTAATGCTTTCACCAAGTGAGACTCCTTTCTCTGGTTATTGTTCAGCCTTTCTTGTGTACATCCTATAACAGTGTAATGTGCCCCTACCCCTTGCTTGAAATGTCTTATTCTCCTTCATTTCTCTTGACCCCAGTAATACTAACCTCTTCAGGACCATTTCAAATTGAATTTTTCAAATACCGCGAAGTTGTCTCTTGACTCTTCCAGAGCTTTTGATCCATCTACTTTGCATGACTTTTTGTAGTGTTTGTCATATTTTTGCCTTGTTTCACAGATACTCATGTGTGTAATGGGGTTGCATTATGTCCTCTCGAAGGACGTGTTCAAACTGTAGTTTCCAGTCCTTGTAAATGTGGTATTGTTTGGAAATATGGTCAGTAGAGTTGTAATGAAGTTAAAACGAGGCCATTCAAGGTGAGACAGGCTCTACTGCAATAACTGATGTCCTTAAAAGAAGAAGAAATTTTGTTCTCAGAGACACAGGGAAGGAGGCCATATGACCAGAGATGGAGATTAGAGTAATGCCCCCACAAACCTCTGGACGTCAACAGTTGGGAGTGACAGGATGCTGAAATGATCCAAGGATGGAGTCTCACCTGGACCCTTCAGATAAAGCATGAAGTCTGCAATCCTGGTGTTGACCAGGCCATACTGTCTCTGAAGGCTCTAGGGAGAGACTGGCCTCATTTCAGACTTCCAGTCTCGAGAACCATGAGAATTAGGTTGTTGCTTTTAAGCCACTTAGTTTTTTTTTCTTTCTTTTAAATTGAATTTATTGGTACATTCTAGGTAGACAGTACAGTTACATTCATTACTGGGGTCTTGTACCTTTACATGCCAGGTCTTGGTACTCATTTTTTCCCCTTGTCCCCACCCTCCCTTCACCCCCTCCTTCCCTCTCCACCTTCAAACTCTTTAGTTCCATTTTTACATTTTCTCATATTTTTTTTCCTTTTTCCTTGTACCCCTTTCCCTATCCTTCTCACTGTCCCTACACCTTTGGTCCTTTTCTTCCTATTTCATGTTGCTAATTGCCCCTTTAGGATCTTGAGTACTATTTTAGTTTTTCACACCAGAGAAACTATTCGGTATTTGCATATGTGTGACTTATTTATTTCACTTAGGAGTTTATCCTCAAAATGTACTCATTTACCTATGAATGAATCTACTTTCTCATTAAGCCACTTAGTTTTTGGTGCTTTTTTTCAAGGCAGCCCTAGGACTGTGGTAGTAACCCATGACACGCATGCTGCAGTGGGCACGCACAACCTTTTGTCTCTATCTAGAATGTTAATTCCATGAGAGCAGGGACTTTACCTAACATTTGGAATCACTAGCTTTTAGTTTCTTACATAGTAGTTATTTTTTGCATATTTGCATAAAAATGAATGAACACATGTTAAGTGAATAGAGTAACATGCAAAAATAGTGTCAGTATATATTTTATCCTTTGACCCAGCAATTGCATACCAAGAAGAAGAAATGCCCAAACCGAGTTTTCTGTTTCTAGGAGCTGCTAATGATCTATTATAAATTCCTGGCATCAGAGTTGTTTCTTCTGCCTGTTCTTTCTTTTCTTTTTTTTTTTCCAGCTTTAATTGAGTTTATTGGTACATTTTAGGGATACAGTACAGTTACATTCATTGTTGGGATCTTGTACCTCCACATGACAAATCTTGATTCTCATTAGAAGGACCTTGGTATCTTATCATCAAGGAGAACTGTGACCATACCATCTTCCACCCACTTTGATTTGTTGCCCATTTGATATGAGCCAGCAGCTGCTGATTAGTTGCAATTCTGACAAAGTTAGGAACCCATGGAGAACCTGCCTCTTCCTGCTGTTCTCATAATCCTCTCCACAGAGGTGTGGGCAGACTTAATCTTTTCAGTAGTGAGAGCAGGCCTTTATCAGGGAGGATAAAATACAAAAAGAACAAAAGTGAATTTCTAAAGAATTTATATTAGGTCATTATGCATTATAAACAGGAATTCAAAACTGACAAGTCTCAGGAAAATACTACTTTCTAATATAAGCAAGGCTGTTGTTTGTATAAATCTTTTTCTGTATATAAAATTTCCCTGGAAAGTATTTCTAACATTTGTTATTAACAAGTGAAATATTTTAAAGTCCTTTGTTTTGGTAAATATTTTAGGATTTTTTCCTCCCTTTTAATTATCATGTTTATAGCTTACCAGCTCATAATTGGTACTAGTCACTTAGATAACAGTGGCAATTATTAGACTACATTTTAAAATTCATTTTTAGTTTCTTTTCTTCTTTCTCCACTTTATCAACAGTTTAAGAGAAATTCTAGTTAAAGATCTCTGCAATCATCCCTTTCTCCCCACTTGTTTCTGAGGTCGTTGCTTTACCAGGAAGTTCTGATTACAGACATAATTTTATATTTTATATTTGTCTTATATATATGGCAAGCTTTATGAATATAATGTTTTTTCCCCTAACTTCTCTGTCCTCTGCTCTTTAGGGCACAAATAACTACTTGTGTTGTTTTATTTGTCTTCAGATTTGTTCATTCATTTGCTCACTCATTTCTTTCATGGATTCACACATTATACATACATAACATACACATTTACTAACTCTTTTCTGTGTGTCAGCTGCTGTATTAGTCCCAGGAGCATGTAATAAAAACTGAGATGCATGTGTGTAGTGCACAAAACACCCTTGATTAGTGGGAAGATGGGTCGTGTGGAGCTTCACCAAGGTCAGATCATTGCACCGTACTGTAATTACTGTAGTAACTATGAGCTACTGCATAAATAGTAATCCACATACCCCTTTACCCTTGAGGATTAAAAAGGAAATTCTTGATATCAAGGAACAAAAGCGTAGACACTATCAGCAACATACAAGTATCACCAGAGTAGGACCAGCTTGGTGAAGGGAACTTGTTTGGACACCCTGTGGCAAATTGGTTTTATGTAAAGTTTGTATCGCTTAACTGGACTGGGCTCCTTTGCTGTGCTGTGCTCCCACCCCATTGGTGGAAAGCATGTTTGATTGCAGTGTTTTTATAACTTGTGACCCCTTCTCTCAATTGTACATGATATTTTCTAAGTATTTTCTTATGTTAGGACAAGGAACCATAACTGCTTTGTTAGTCTCAAAGGACCTGACCTGACAATTAAAAAACACGGTTTGCACATATGGTCTCTTAGTTTTTGAGAGAAAGCCTGAACAAAAACATTTTCTTAAGATTCAAATTACTCTGCATATAATTTGCCCATTTGGATCACAGCTTAGTAGGATAGTATTTCCAACAGCAAAAATAAAAGAATATTTAATGGGATGAGAAAACTAGTTGGATGCTGATTTTTTTTCCCTGTTAAGTTTATTGGTACATTTAAAGCAAACAGTACAGTTACATTTATCATTGGGATCTTGTACCTTTATATGAAATGTCTGGTTCTTGTTTTTTCCCCATACCCTGACCTCCCTTCACCTGCTTCACCCGTCCCTATTTACAAAGACTTTGTTTCCATTTTTTTCTTTTTTCACATTTTTTCTTTTCCCTTGCTTCCTTTCCCTCCTTTTCCCACTTCCCCTTTAACCATTTTCTTCCTATTTCACGCTATCAATTATACTATTTGAACCTTATTTACACTTTGTTTTTCACATCAGAGAAACTATTTGGTGTTTACTCAAGTGTGTCCTATTTATTTCACTTAAGATTATAGCCTCATTGTGTATCCATTTAGCTATAAATTTTTCTGGTTTCTCATTCTAAAACCACATCTTTATCCAGTCTCCAGTTGATGGGCATTTGGGCTGTTTCCAAGTTTTAGCTATTACAAACTGTGCCGCTATAAACGTGTGCACATATATCACTGTGGTATGATTCTTTTAATTCTTTTAGAAAGATACCCAGCCAGAGGGATAGCTGGGTCAAATGGGACCTCTAATCCTAGTTCATATTGATTTCCACAGTGGTTGCACCAGTCTGCACTCCCACCAACAATGGAGAAGGGTTCCTTTCTCCCCACATTTTCACCAACTTTTGTTATTGGTTGATTTTATGAGGGCAGCCATTCTTTCTGGAGTAAGGTGGAATCTCAGTGTTCTTTTCAACTGCATCTCTCAAATGACCAGTGATGTTGAACATTTTTTCATATATTTATTTGCTGCTTTTACATGTTTGTCTGAGAAATGTCAGTTCAGATGCCCATTTTTGAATCAGGTCTTTGTATTGGTTTTTTTTTTTTTTTTGTTTTTTATATTTTCTAGATAGTAGTCCTTTGTCAGAGGAGTAGCTGGTAAAAATGTTTTCCCTCTTAGCTTTGTTGGTGGTTTCTCTTGGATGCTGATTTTTTTCTCCCTGTAGAAACACATTTCACACACAGTGGTTTGAATGGGAGAGGGAGAGGCAGAAAAAAAACCAATCATTTATGATTCATACTGATTTGTGAAGCAGAATTCAGGAAACAATATAAACTTAGTGTGTAATATTAGTGTTTCCATATAAGGTCACAGTGCACTCATAAATAACAAAACAAAACAAACTTCCGAAGCTGACAAAGAGAACAACAAAATATGGTTATCCAGGTCTTTGTTTCATGCAGTCAGATTTAATCCTAAAATCTTAGGACTCCAGTATCCATGTAAGATTGGTCTTTATAGTCTCTTATTTGTTTAGCCTTTGAAGACTATGTACATTCACGTTGGAATTTAGTGGCACAGTTTGATATTGAACTTCTGAAAATGACCTGAGAAATTTTATAATTTCTAGATTGTCTATAGTAATATAGGCCTAACAGAATATTCAACTATTTTTGGGAAAGATGACTGTATTCTAAATTCCAGAATGTTAGCGTCATCCTTGTCTCATAAAGTCTAGAATCTTTCTTATGGACCCTGAGTACATTTGACTTTTTCTGAACATGTTCAGTGCAGATGAGAAGCAGTGCTTTTTAGGGTCATTGGGAAGATGGGCACATCCTATTACATAGAGCTCCAATGTGCATATTTGATGCTCAGAGAATTTTTTGGCCTCACAGCTGGTGAGAAAGCTAATTATGTTTTTCCTGTTGAACAGGACAGGAGATCTTCATTACCTCTCTTGTTCTTTTATTTCAACCTGACTTTGAAAATAATCATTGTAGTAGCTTTTATAGTCTTCCTCATGAAGACGGTATTAGGTATTGCTTTGTTTTAGAGTAAATACTGAAGTGCAGAACACCTCTGTCTTTAACGACTCATCTCTAGACTCTAGAAATAGGGAGTGGTGAGGATTTTTATGTCCTGTATCTGATTTAGATCTTACCTGGATTGATCTGGGTCAGCCTATAGGCTTAGGATCCACCTTGATCTTCCAAATAGTGCTCTTTCATAGATGAGAAGAGGCAACTTCAGAGAGAAGTTTGTGGCAGCCAGTGTGCTGCTATTTGGGCAATTTCTCTCTGTTAACTTGGTCAGCCTATAAGGTTCACTTATGATTTTGCAGACACTTGGGTCTTGGTTGAGAGCATAGTCTAAAGATTGTAGGATAAAGGAAGGTGGTCATAGGAAAGAGCCAGAAAATGGAGCTTAAAATGAAGTAGGCTTCCACAACTAAGTGATACATCCCCCTTGCTTTCTAGAGGTGGTTTCCTAGTGTAGGAGCCACAGGGATCTGTATTGATTTTTTTTACTAAAAAGCAAACAGGGAAGGCTGTCAGTTACAGGAATTACCACTACCAAATTATAGGAGCTAGTTATTAGCCATAGGCAGGTTTTTCATCTTTTGCAGTTTTCTTCCAGCACACCTGACCTGTACTGTCCAAACAGTCTTTATAGGTCCCTCTCTATGAAGTTAGATTGTTCCATTCAATGCCACCTGAACACTCACTGGAGGCTTTGTATCTGTATTGCATATTTTGTTGACTGAAGGCTTTTTTTTTGCTGATGGGTCTAAAAGGGTAAGCAGAAAATTAAAAGAAGTGTTGTGTGTGACTGAATAGTATGCATTTTGAAAGCATGCTGGTTACCGAAATGCTAGCAAGTCTAGTGTCCGCTTTGCCTCTGACTGTAAGGCGATGGGTTAGATGACTTTGAGAACTTAGGCAGAGTAAGATCCCTGACTGCTATAAATACAGTGATGAGGTTGGTGTGCCTCTTTATTTCACCAATGCTGTCATTATCAGAATAAAGTCCTGTTTATGGTATAATCATTATCTAACAAGCCTGTAAAATGAATAATTCTTTACTGCTTAGCTTAGATATTCATGTATTCAGATGTTGTCAACATATGAAATATTAGGATACCAAATATAATAAAATATTGTGTATTTGTTTTTGTTTTAGGGCACTCAGAATCCTAGTGAAATTAATTGAACTAGTTTTATTAGTAATAAATAATGTAACTAAGTACAGTCATAAATGCTAGGAGCCAGGTGTCCATCCAACCCTGATCAGACTACATGGCATTGGTAAGACATCAATCACTTCCAACAAAATGGAGAATTTTGAAGAAATGGACAGATTCCTAGATACATATGATTAGTAAAACTGAGCCAAGATGATATTAAAACTCTGAAAAAATCCAGTAACAGGCAATGAAATAGAAGCAGTAATTAAAAAACTAAAACCAAAAATAAAAACCAACTAAGAAAAGCGAGATGGATTCACTGTTGAATTCTATAAGAACTATAGGGAAAGATCTAACATCAATAGTCCTCAAGCTCTTTAATGAAAAGGAAAGAGAAGGAGTACTTCCAAAGTCATTCATGGAAGGTATTACCTTGATTAAGAACCAGATAAAGAGCCAACCAAAAAAAGAAGAGGTATAGGCTATTCTCTTTAATGAATACAGAAAATCTTCAACAAGATATTGGCAAATGTAATGCAAAAAAGCCATCAAAAAGGTCATACATTGTAACCGAGTAGGCTCATCCCAGGGATGCAAGGATGGTTCAACATATTATACATAAACCCATAAATTTAATACCTCACATAAACAGCAGCAAGGATAAAAATCATATTATTATCTCAATGCATAAAAAGTCTTCGGCAAGGCTGCCGCTGCCACCATCTCCAGTGCCAGAGGGCCTGTGGGGCCACACCCTCTCCTGCTGGTGCTACCGCCATCTTCAGGGCTAGGAAGGTAGCCGCATGGGCGCACCTGAACCCCCCCAACCTCCCCCTTATGCTTTCAGACCTCTTGATTGTGCTAGTCTTTAGACCTACTCTGTAGAGGCAGAGGTGGTCATAAAGGGTATTTTCCATTGCTCCCAACTTTGAACATCTTTAAAGAAGGGGTGGGGGAAACCTGTAGTAGAACTGAGTGGAGTTCAACCCTCAGGAGGTTGGGGAACTCAATCTGGGCCTTGCAGCCTGAGGTCAGTCTGTGTCATGGGGTTCTGCCACCAGCTAGCTGAGATCAGGAGACTTGGCTCTGCACATGGCAGTGCATATTATATATTATGACAGCAGTGATATAGTCTGAAAGAGGCCCTTCAAACTCATTTTTTTATTCCTCTCTGCAAATGTTTTTTCTGTCCTCTTTCTCCAACTCAGTCTCTTGCTCTACCAAATTATTCCTCATCTCCCTTTTTGTTTTTGCTCCTGTCCTAACTTAGATTTCTTTTTATTATTTTTTTTCTCTTTATGTTCTTATGTCATTCTACCTCACTCAAGGGCTATTATACTTCTATTCTGTTTATCCCTTTTGAATTTAACAGTTTCCTGATGATTGTGTGGTCATTCTATGTCATCTGGCTTCATGTGAAACCTTCTCTAATTCTTCTACTTATCTACTCCTCTTGTCCTAATTCTGTCTTAAGCCCCCATCTAAATGGTAAATATCCTTATTGAAAAGTTTATTCACTGCAAACATTTTGGATTGCTTCTTTGATTTTAATTTAATTCACATGGTTTGAAGGTGATAGACTGATGACTACCACAAGTGGTTAGTTTGCAAGTTGTGCTTAATCATATTGTGGTGCTGATTGTATCAATTAGGATAAAGGATTGTGATTGATTGAATGAGCTGTTTTCTTTGGTATTATGAAGATGAGAATGTCTATGAGTCACTAGAGACCCATGGGCTGAAGCCCAACTATATCAGGAAGATTTAAGTAATAACCTAAAGGTTAAACTAAGGACAACCCAACAATAATAGTAAAAATGAGAAAACATTTAAGCAAGATTCAGGGACAGACTTCCAGTTCACCAATGGCAAACAGTGGGGCAAATGAGGATGAAAAGTCTTGACAGTGAACCATCAGGACACCCTGAACTCAAAGCACAGGAAGTAACAAAACTGATGAATCAGGCTCTAGAGAAATATAAAAAAGAAGTAATTTCCCAGATATTCACAGAGATGATGAGCAAAATGAAAGTTATAATTTGAGACTCTAGAAGAACAGAAACTGTGAGAAAATAGATGAGCTCAGGACCATGATAGAAGCCATGAATGCCCAACATAAGAAAGAATTGGAAACAATAAATGCCCAATATAAGAAAGAAATGGAATCCACAGGGCAGATTCGAGCAGATATCCAGGAGATTAAGAACTCCATTGAGAGTGTTTGCAACAGAATAAAAGAGTCCAAAGATAGAATCTCAGATATAGAAGATAAAATTGCATTCATTGACCGTGAAAAGAGAGGTCTCTTAAAAACAGTAGGGGATCATGAGAAATTGATCCAACAACTCTTAGATGATGCAAAGAAGAATAACATAAGACTGATAGGAATCCAAGAAGTAGCAGGAGAAAAAAAGCAAATGACTTAAAAAAGCTGCTCACAGAATTAATTATAGAAAACTTCCCAAACAGGGGAAGAATTTGACATTCAGATAAGTGAGGCATATAGGACTCCAACTAGTCACAATAAAAAAAAAAATCTATACCTAGACATATAAAAATCAAGATCCCAGAAACCCAACAGAAGAACAAAATACTACAAGCAGTAAGAGATAAGAAACAAATCACATGCAAAGGAAAGCCCATCAGAATTACAGCAGACTTTTCAACACAAACCCTTAGGTTAAGGAGAGCCTGGAATGAGACATTTCAAGTCCTAAAAGAAAACACTCTCCAACCTAGACTGATGTATCCTGCAAAACTTTCTTTCAAAATGGTTTGGGAAATAAGATACTTCCATGACAAAGAACACCTGAGAAACTTCATGAATACCAAACCAGCACTACAAGGAATTCTAAACAATATCCTAGAAAAAGACAATGAAGGTAACAACACAATGAGGCCCAACAGAGCAAATCAAATAGGCAAGGTAAGAAACTAAAAGGAGAAGATGAAAAAAAATGACAATAATAAGTTAGTACATATCAGTTATAACTATGATGGACTCAATTTACCAATCAAGAGAAATTGTCTGGCAGAATGGATTAAGAAGCAAAATCCAATAATATGTTGTATACAAGACACACCTAGTGCAAAAAGAAGCCCATAGACTGAAAGTGAAAGGATGGAAAACTTCTTCATGCAACAGGAGCCTAGAAAAAAGCATGGGTAGTAATCTTATTCACAGACAAAGTAAATTTCAAACCTAAACTGATTGAAAGAGACAAAGAAGGCCACTACATCCTTGTGAAGGGAACAATTCAAGAGGAAGAGATAACAAATAACTTATTTTCAATCTATTGAGTATGTTAGAAAGCACATATGCTCCTTTTCTCTCTTTTTTTTTTTTTCTTTTTTTCTTTCCCTGCTGCTGGGGATTAAACTCAGCACATTGCTCTGGCTAGGTAGGTGCAGCACTACTGAGCTAAATCTAAGGCTTTACATTTCATATATCTTTGTCTTTTTATGTTTGTCTACCAAATTGAGTTATTTTGGTTCTCATTTTCTTTGCTTTTTTATTTGAGAATTTATGAAATCTGTATATATGAGTAGTATGAAAAGTATTAAGGTCCATCTGTCATTCTCTCTCATTTCTGCCTTCTGCAAACTTCCTTTTCTGTCACTACAGCTTGTTTGGTTGGAAATTTGTTAAGACAAATTTTGTTATGTTATCAATATATCTTTGTACCTATTTTCTACTGATAATGAATATTAATT